TGGGTGCGTAGGCAGCGATGATGAATAGACATCTATTAGTCCCGCAAGACTTCGAAGCTTTAAATGAGCCAGCCAATCGGACCGCACACACCCGGCTACTGATTGGAATCCAATCAACCAGAGCAGCTTCAGCCCGAGGACTCAGGGCAATACCAACACCAGCTTGGCCAGTGCTCGAAGCTGCATCGTCACCGGATAGGCGCACTGAGAAAACACTGTTTGCGTCACCTGAAGGGGATCGCAGAGTGAGCACAGAGCTCGATTCTTGCAGACAGGTCTCTGATAAGCAGCAGATATCGATCGAGAGGGTCTCCAATGTTCGGGCAAGTGCTGCCTGTTGACCGATTTGTAGCAGTGTGCATACATTGAGGCATGCCAATCTGAAAGAGGATCGAGGGCTCCAAATGGAAACCGATGAACTGGGCTTGTCGACAGGAGAGGAATGACGCTCCGCGTTAGCATTGAGTTAAAATTAGAAGATGAGTGCCTAACAAAACATGTTGAGGGCCAACAATCGGGGGGTTGAAAATTGGGGGGGTATAAGTGAAGTTGGAGGGGGACGATAAGAGTGAAAAAGCGTAAGAGGGGATTAAGTAGACGGAAGGCTTGCGTAGTAGCATTCAAACCCCTATCCACGCTGCTCGATGCAGCAGATAGGGCACCGTTGATTATCCTCTGCGGTGGCCAGAGCATCAGGAAATTGTTTGAGGAAAGATTCATAGTATTGCGTGGGCAGGATACTGTCAGGTTGCCCAGGCCTAGACAGGAGAACGATTAGGGTTCTCAACCAAAGCCTTTGGTTAAAAAACCTTACCGCAAGGCAGCAGGTTTGGCGTTGGGCTACAGGGAGTCCGTTTTAAGGAATAAGATGCCACACTCATTCCATCCTCCAGCCTGGAGGACCAGGAGGCTGAGTTTGTCTGGCCTCTGACCACTGACCAACCTGGTATGACTGACTCAGAAGGTGCAAAAGCACCATCCAGCATAGCTCAATGGATCTCTGAGGCACATAAACCATCGCACCACGGTAAGGTCCAGCCTCATTGCGATGGCTGTTGAGGAATGGTATTCCCGGGAAGTTCTTTTCCATTCTGCGTGCTCTTTATAGTCTGATCTTGGGTAGAGTTAAGGCTTATGGCAAGCTTTCGCCTTCCTTTGTTGTCACCAATGGGGTTCGACAAGGATTCCCTATTTCTCCATTCCTCTTCAACTTTACCATTGAGGATGTCCTCAAAAAAGGCTCTAGAAGACTTGTTGAATGCTGGCCTTGAGCTTCTCCCAGGGAGTCGGGTGGTTGATTTGGATGACGGTCCATAGGCCGTCCAACTTGCGTCTAACCCCCTGGCGATGGTAGCGTCGAAGTATGGCATGCACTTTTCACCATCGAAGTGCAAAGCGCTTTTTCAAGACTGGCATACGCCCCTACCTGCCCTCACCATCGATGGGGAAACGTTAGAAGTGGTACAGAGTTTCATCTACCTGGGAAGCTGCATAACTGCTGGTGGGGCCGCTGGAAACGATATTCCGATGCGTATCTCAAGAGCTTTTCTCACATTCTCTAGGCAGAAGCATTTATGGCACCGCTATGACATCCGTCACTTTGTCAAAGAACGGGTTTATAGTGCTGCTGTCCGCGCTGTACTGTTCTGCGTTTACGAGATTTGGCCTGCTCGTACTGATGACCTACGTCGACTGTGTCTTCGATAACCGTTGGTTGCGGTCCATTGCCCGTGTGTGTTGGCTGAACCACATAACCAACGCTGAAGTCAGACAGCGTATCTTGGGTGGAGACAGCCACTCCCTCGAGGCGCTTGTCTCGATGCGCCAACCGATGGCTCGGACAGGTACTGCGTATGCCCGCTCAACATCTTCTCCGTCGTGCCTCGTTTGCGGTCGCTGGACAGGGTTTGAGGAGGCGGTGTGGTGGACAGCCTACAACTTGGAGAAGCAGGATGAGAAAGCTGACAAAACTGCTGGTCACGGTTGGTTTCTCCCGACTCCCTGGATGGGGTCCCAAGGATGCTGAGTGCAATTGGTTAAAAACGTTGGAAGTCACGGCTCGAAACCGCACCTAGTGGTGGGCGTGTATATCTGCTTGATGCGGTTATTCCCCTTCCCTCTCCCAATAAAAACAACACTATGAGTGAATAAACAAAAATTTATTTCTTTTCTTTCTTCTTTTACCCCAACCCTGTTTTCCTATTCCGTCATGGTTCCGGTGGCACAATATCTGTACACATCTTTTGATGAATATATATATATATATATATATATATATATATATATATATATAACCTGGAAGGTATTCCTCTATTTGATTTGCCCAGTTCTGTTATTCCGCTGCATATTCCGTGCCAATTTTTCCTTTAAATTCCGTGTTGATGTTTGATATCCCCGGTGTGGCTGTGCTTGATGTGGATATTGACAAGGTGCCTACTTGTCTAACGCATCCACCTTGATTGCTGGCTCCAGGTCTGTGTGAATCGTACACGGGGGTATGAGGTGCACGATCCTCTTGGACGTGCTAGGTTCAAAGAGTGATTCCATCCGGTGTGAAGCTACCACCTTGTGTACGTCTGGTACGCATGCTTTCCAGTTTAGCTAAACAGTAGTGCTGCTGTTGTGCATGTGGAAGGTGTGTGGGCCGGCTCCGTTTATGAAACTTTGCTCCCATTCACATTCACATGCCTCCTGCGGGTTTACACTGGATATGGTGTGTGTGGATGGAGCTGTGTGTGTGTGTGTGTGGCAGCGCAAGCCACCCATGGTCCCACTGTAGGCGCAGGCGTCCTGCGGCTGTCCTATGGCGGCTGCAGCGACACGCCAATCCGGAACCGGATGCCGCCAACCTGTGACCACGGCCAGTCACAGGTGGGAGGTGGATGGTTATCAAAAATTTGACCTGGGACTACCTGGCTTGAGGCGGGCGGTAATAAACCATTGAGCACTTGGCGAATCCCTCCCACCGTCAGAGACAATGCATGGTGCTCGTGCTCTACGCCAATCGAGTTGTGAACTTATAACCTGTAAACCTGTTGTCTCCCATGGTTAGGTTTTCAGGGAAGAGGGCCATCCACCTGTCTTAAGCATTCAAAGAGGGGATTGTAAGACTGACTTAGTCTGACTCCTTTCCATTGATATGTCTAGTATATTGGGCTCTAGAGGCACTCGAAAATTGCTTCCCAGCGTGGTTCGACGGATCACGGAGGTATGCAAACCATCGCATCCCGTTAAGGTTCAGTTTCACAGTGAGATAAGAAACGAATTTCTCGTATGGTAGATTTCGGGAAGTTACCGGAATTCACCAAATCCGGATCAAAGTATTGCTAACACTACACGTGCTCCTAACTGTTGCTATGACCGTAATCAAACGATATAAGCTATGCCTCCTCGTTGCCTGTAGGCAGACAAACTGGGACTGGCCGAGGCCCGGTTAAATTCTGAGGTAATTTCCCATGGATTCCAATTCACTGACTACTCCTACTTCCGTTGCGACAGACGGACGTGTTGCTATACATTATGGTGAGAACTTACTGAAGCACCGTGTGCTTGACTGAACAACTATGGCACTCAGTCTACTTCTGGCTTAGTGAACCACTCGTGGGTGTTGTCTATCGCAGTCCGAGAATCCGCTGTTTTGGCTGTCTACCGTCTCCTATATATGATTGATTTCAACTGACTTCGTATACTCGGAATTGTGGTTCAACTTTTCCCCGAGCATCATGAAGTCAAGGGAGAGTTTGCGGAACTGATATTTTAAACTTAAGCAGCACATCGACCAACCAACTCACATACGATCGCACTTAACCTCGTCGGGTCTGGACGCAACGTTGTTTGACTTGCTACGAACGTGTGACGTTCAGCTCCTGAGAACACTATGCAAGTGACGTCTTGATGTTCACACTCAGCCTGGAGCTGCTGCGGCCGTACCCGCGTGCGCTGAAGCCACATATGGCACAGACGCGACATCACTCTCCCTGAAGGATAGAGTGTACAATGCAGCGGGACGTTCGATCCTACCGTTAGGTTGTGAAACCTGACCCTTAGATCCGCAGACCTAAAGAGGCTAGTTACGTTCGACCACCGGTGACTTCGCCGTTTGGCTCATATCTGATGGTAACAGAGTGTTCGACGCCTTGTTTATAGCACAGAAAGAGGAAATGGACCGCTCAGCACCGTTATTTTATGCACCAGGCTCCGTTGGCTTGGTCACGTGTTGCGTATGCCAGCCCACCGACTCCCGCGATATGCATTATTTTCTCGCCGGAGATGTGGATGAAAGAAGCCGGAGTGGCGAAGCGATAACTTGGTCAAGAGAAGGAAGGCCCTTACTTCGAGGTGGGTCTCTATTGGAGTCTTTCGGTTTCCTGGTTGGGGTCCGAGGGACGATGAACATGTTTGGCTGGATACACTTGCTGACATGGTTTGCAGCCGACCTCAGTGGTATTTGTGTTGTGAGTTTCTTTGTCCCTCCTCCTCCGGCTTAACCACTCTCTTCAACAGCCATCTCATTATCTAGCATAATATAAATGTTGCGTAGTGCAAAATTTTTTACGGCTCAATAGCCGGCTGGTAGCTTTCCGGAACCATGTCCATCCGTTACTGGCAGCTCAGCTGGAGTGCGTCTGTTGCATGTTTTTCTTCTTTTCTTATGTATTGCGGCACAGTAGCTGATGTGTATTCCACCTTTAGCTAACGTGTATAATGATGATGATAGAGTGTGGTCAGTTAGCTCGACGGCATCGAAGGCTGTGGAATAAATTCCTCATGTATGGCCCCACTGACAATTATAAGGCGTAACATTGATTGTCAGATACCTGTAATAACGCAGAAGCACAGTGACGTCAGCAGTTTTAGGGACTACTCGCAACCGCAGCGAAGACCGCCCTCCGAATGGGGCCATTATTTACGTAACTCTTAGTATCTTTCTTTTTTGAGCTACAACTTTTTGGAAAACTCGATTATATTTAACTATCGAATAAGCTCCACTTTTCCATTGTAGAGCATGTTCACTTTTTCCGTGGATTTCCCATCTAAATGGGAACAACTGAGTGATATCGTCTTCCGACTCATTCGATGCAAGGCTGTGAGTCGCGATGACTGGAACGCCAGTTTCCTTGATGTCTATGCACTGTGCAACTCAAGACCGGTGTCTCACGCACCAGCGTTATACTCTTCCACTGGCACTCTTATCATTGACCGGGTGAAAGAAGTCACTGATGATCTCTCCCAGCTTGATGACATAGATTTGCTTCCTGCTTACGTGCGTAACTGGGAGGTATTTCATCAGGGTATCACACACCTGGATAACTTATACCGGTACGTCAGCAACCTGATTTAGGTAACTTTCACCAGGTATGTAAATCAACAGTATGTGAAATCCTTGAGACCCACGGAAGCTGAGATGTGTTACAGTGCCGTTTTACCAATGGCAGAACGACATACGATGGAGATTCTGGAAATCGGTTTGGCCAGTTGGAAGGCTTACCTTGTGGATGTGATCAAAGACCGTTTATCGACCTGTCTCATGCGCGAGGTTCTGAAGTATGTTCGTATGCTCGTTTCCTTCATTGTCTTTCTGTAGTGATCGCATGGGGATCATCGGACAGCAGAACTGCATTGCCCCGGCTATTGATTCCTTTCGAAGGATAAGTGAACTGAGGGATGCTGAAAAGGTTCGCCCATTTTCACCGTGACTTCCTCTGTCTCTCACCTTTCCTGTGGGTCCCTGTTACCCAGAACGTGTACAGTTTTGCCTTGGATTCACCTGAATTCAACATATTGGCCTCAAAGATTTGGTGCTCACATGTGATCGCGCGATGTAAACTTAACTTTAATGCTTGATAAGTGTAAGTTTACCCGCCTAAATTGCACACTACGTCGCACTTTCACAGCCTCTGTAGCGCCCGATTTATACCCTTATCGGTTTGTGGTCGTTTTAGGCTCCGGTCCAGCTTAGTTCTGGTAAACAATCATAATCCGGTCATCTGGGTGCCCTGGTGGATCCAGTTACCAAGACTCTTGCCACCAGAATAGTCTTGGGTAACAATAGTGCAAAATGTAGTACTGCAAACAGAATACAAAGTTGAGTAAAGAAAGCAAAGTGTAAAACTAATTAGGATGAAATATTTACTAGGTAGATGAAAGAAGTCGAACGCAGCAACACCAGCGCCATGTCTGATAGAGCCCTCTAACCACTCATGTGGACAATCCCGAGGCCCGCATCCACGAAGACGGCACACACCAACCTGTCCAAGTCTCTCGGCCAGTTTTCCTCATGCCTTTTTGTCATATCATCGACTGGTCACCTTGCTGTTTCTCCAAACTTGGAGTAGTGACGACGTGTAATGGACGCCGAAGAAACCGGTCCACGGACACACGGAGAACCTGACCTACTCGACATAAGCTGTCAAGGTTCAGAGGGCTTTTTTGTCTAAAACCAACTGACATATTTTAGCATTGCTCACCATATAAGATGCTAGTGGTGTTCGTTTTTTAACTAACACAGACAAACTACGTTCGTATATCCTGTGTACAACTCCTATCGTACTGAATACTGAGGCTAGAGAGCGAGAAGATAAAAAGCTGTTGCTCCATCGTAGGTGGGTCGGGCACATGCTTGAATCACGTTGCTGATTCCTGTGCGGTGGTAACATATTACAGCTACACTACATCTTATCCGAGTGCGATGTGCTCCCTATACCTGTAGTCCGCAAAGTAGACATCGATGAATCGCTTAAACTCCGACACCAGTTTCGCCTCGACTAGCGTCTCCGGCAGCTTGTTCCAATATTTCACCACTCGACGCTCGAAGCATAGTGGGTGAGCGATGCGCTTTAAATCTGGTACCACTAGTTTGTACTGGTGTCCGCGTGTGCTGCTTGGTGCACGAACTTGCAGCAGCGGTCTCAATATAGGGAAGTGGCCCAGGTGCAGTATGCGGTGCGTCATTATGAGATCAACTCGACCGACGATGTGACAGGGTATAGAGGCCTAATCTCCTACATCCGTCCTCATACGACATACCTCGTAAATTGGGGATGAGCCGGGTAGCTACATGCTGGACCCGTTCCAGTCTATGCACCTCACCTATTGTGATCGGGTAATAGGCGGAAGAGCTGTACTCTTGCACCGGTCTTATTATGAAAGAGAACAGACGCGTGGTAATCTCCTCAGACCAAGTGCAAAAACTGCGTCCAAGTGCCCAAAGCAGGTGTAGTACGTTTGTGTACAGTCTGTTCGTGTTGTCGATAGACTTCAGGTCACCGCGTGACAGTACGCCTAGATCATTTGCGGAACTGGTGGGATGCAGCGGGTTACCGGCCAGGTTATACGCACGCCCATTACCACCGTTCCCCAGGTTCATAAATGAGAACTTGGCCAGGTCGACCGGTAGGTCAACTTCTGCAGACCACCGGGATAGGCGGTCGAGGTCTTGCTGGAGGACGTCACAGTCGTCGGGAGAATCAATGACTAAATCTTCAAGTCGTCTTCAAACAGTGCACAAGGCGACCAAAGAAGCTGTGGCACCTCGTTTATGTGGATCAGGAATAAAATTGGCTCAGCACTATGCCTTGGGGTACACCGCTAATGGGAGGGTACCATTCCGTTAGGTGGTCATCCACCTGTACACGCTATCTTTTCCCAATAAGGAAGTCAATGATCCAATGGTGCAGTGCGCCACCAACACCACCACAGTTTATGGAGCAGTACCTCATGATTCACTTTATCGAAAGCTTTATTGAAATCAATGTAGATAACATCCACTGATTTCCCCCGTTCCAACGCTTGCAACCTTTCCTGCCGTTTCAACAGCAGGTTGGTAATGCATGAACGGCCCTTCATGAAGCCGTGCTGTGCCGGCGTTAGGAGATCTTTCGACTCCAGCTGCTGGAGAGGACCCATTTTTAAAATCTTCTCGAGCACCTTCGCCAAAACAGAGGCGAGACAAATCGGCCGGTAATTGTCCACATTGCGTGGGTCACCGCCTTTTGGAATCGGCTTCACTACTGAGCATTTCCAGTCGCTCGGCAATGCGCCGTCGGACAGCGATCTGTTGAACAGATCGAGATGATGGCCGATAAGCACTTGAAAATAAGGGAATGAAGTCCATCGGGTCGGCAGCTTTCATACCGTCAAAACTGGCGAGTAGACTGCGGACATATTCTACACCGCAATCCAAGCCATCTAGTTGAGTAGTGGTTGCACACGTCGAGCTCGACTTAGGCATATGCCCACTTGTATATACGGAAGCGAAGTGCTCCGCCAATGCGGATGCACGTTCAGTGCTGGAGGTCAGAGGCTGTCCGTCATTGCCTTCTAACACAGCTTGTCACTTACGGGCCACAGCCACCGCTTCACATAAGCAAAAATGTTCTTGGGGTCTGTCTTCCCTGAGGTTGCAAGCTGCTCTTCGAACTGCTGACGCTTTTGCGCTGTTGCATAGATTCCGATGCTTTTTTACGCCTCATAATGGTAGGTTTTCGCCGAATGACACCCAAGATGTTCATATGTTGCTTACGTGAAGCGGGGCCTAAGACCTTCGGATGACGTTTCCGTGACGGACAACTCCCAATTTCCAGCACTGAGAGCGCGTCCACACTGGCGGCGCAATTCACCTCCGCATATGTAACTGGCCATGCGTCTGTATGGAGTTTAACTTGTGAAGCCTCAACCGAATTCAGCTCCCTGGATTACGGCGTTAATGCTATACGCAGTTCACTCTCCAGTTATGACTACACGATGCCTACCTATCCTGAATGGCTCCACCCGCTGATTCTCGATTCGTTGTCAACCATCATCTCGCCTTCTGTGACTGATCTGTTCAGCAGATCGCCGTCAGGAAGTGCATGCCGAGCTAATGGAAATTCTCGGTAGTGAAGCTGATTTCGTAGTTGGGGTGACCCAATTCTCAGCCAGTTTGTCCCATCTCTGTTTGGTCCATGATGCTCGAGAAGATCGTGAAGTAGGATCTACCTCAGCTGCTGGGGTCCAAAGACCTCCAGACTCCGAAACAGCACGGTTTTATGAAAGGCTACTTATACATCACCAAGGTACTGGTGACGCGGAATAAATACTTTTAAGCACTTACCAGAGGAAGTCAGTTGACGCGATCTATCTTGATTTCAGCAAACCTTTTGGCATGATGAACCACGAGGTTTCTGTATAAAAGCTGAGGATGTGCGGTGTTGGTGGCTCGCTGTACCTGTGGATAGGCGATTTCCCTAATGAGCTGAACAGGAGGGTAAAGGTAGATGACTATCTAGCAGACAGGTGCCTTTATAGCAGTGACGTACTCCAAGGCACAGTACCGAGGCCGCTTTGTTCCTAGTCCAAATCAGCAAAGTACTTCAGCTTCAGTCACCTTGGGCCTTGTTTGTAGACGACCTGAAGATTCGGAGAGTAACCGATACTCCCATGTGATGCGACGTGCTTCAGCATAAACTACACCGCCTGTCCGTGTTGAATGCAGATATCATTCTACGAGCTGACCTAGTCAACTCGTTATTTGTGGGCGTACAAAAAGGTTGCAGATTGGCGTGCTTGCATTACGGCCGGCCTAAGCTTACTCTCATTGCCATTTAGAGTCCGTTGACAACACGAACAAGCCATATGAAACGGTCTACGCATCCTTCTGGCACTCGGACGCAGGTTTTACACCTGGTCATTCATTTATTCTCTTCTGTCCTGAAACCAATGCTCGAGTACGACTCACCTGCCTAGTGTCCGATAACCCGTGGCGGGATGCAAAGACTGGAATGTGTTCAGCATGCGGCTATTAGGCTCGTCCCCAGTTTACGCCTATATCGTACGAAGATCGATGCGGGAGGCTGAGGTTGTGCATCTTGCCAGATATTTTATTTCTCGTGGACCTCATAATGACGCTCCGGATATTACCTCTAGGCCATTCCCTCATGCTGAAGTCACTGCTGCACGTACGCGCACCAAGCAGTACACGCTATCACAGGTACACTCACGTAGTGCCGGATCCGAAACGTGCAGCTCACCCTCTGTGCTTCGGGCTGCCAGTGGTGAAATATTGGAACAGTTTGCCTGAGGCGAAATCAGTGCCGGAATTCAAGCGATTCCTAGGTGCGCACTTTGCGTATTGCAGATTTCGAGAGCGCATCGCATTGTACATCGTGTTGCTGTACTATGCTGACAGTGCCCGGTATTACTTGACGTTATTCCGCGTTTGCCTGCCCGATGTCATATCGGTGGAGGAACACAAATGTGTATCTTCCGGCTCTCTCTGTTCTCATTATTCACTACCATTCTTCCAATTCTTACTTGTTGTCCATTGTTTAGATTTCCATGGATATGTACAATAGAATATTCCAACTGCCGTTGTTGGAAACAACCAAGACGTTTTATTCCAATTGGGCCGAAAAGCACGAATCGGAACATCCCTGTTTGCAGTACATAACAGACGTAAGTCGATCGCTCGCGTCAATCTACCCAGTCGTCTCTGTTTGCCCAAATGTTTACTCATCTGCTTTTTGTTTTGTCTTCTGTCCTTTCTCTATTGTCTTGTTCACTCAATCCTAGTACATATTTACACTCCATTTTAGCACCTACCTTGTGCTTACCTCGAGATTAGATTACCCTCGTTGTGTGAATCATAACAGTCCGGAGCTACACGTCACACTCCGCTGACCCGTCGCACTTTGGTAATGTCGTATGCATTCGACTGTTGGTAAATTTATCGCTCTCTTTCTAGTCCTATCGACTGGTGCTGTTCAGCCGCACACCTCACTTGTTGTTTACGCTAACTCGTCCACAATTTTACCGCGTTTGTACCAACTGCCAACCTCCACAATCAGCAGATGATTTCTCTTGCTCACTGGTTCATAATCATTGTCGAAACTGTGACACCACAATTTACTTGTCAGCGTTTATATACGCCACCGGACTTTGTCACGCTCTGCATTCCTGCAGCACGGCCACGACTTCTCTTTTCTCCACTGGACAGCCGTGTGTATGCTATGAATTCATCTTTTCTCATTGGTGCTTTTCGGAAGAGAACCCATCACCATCTTCCCTGTTTACTTTATGCTTGTGATAAATCCAGTCACATTATTGCAAATGGCATTGGTATGAATGTTGCCTCGAGATTGGACCTTGGTGCGGCAATGTGTTTACTTCTTTGATCCACTGAAACATTCCAGGTGGTGCTTTCTGCCAACTTCAAAACTACTTCGATTAGTCTCCCGGTCTTTCAAGTTCTGGACCAAGAATTAGGTGGCGCTTTTATGCTAATGCTTCCCATGTTACTTATGCCTGCCAATTTCCGGTTGTTTTGAGGTCAAGTTTTGGAATGAAGGTTTACTTTGAGCACCGTAATCGTTTTTCTGTCTGAATCCGAGAGCCTAACCCACATACAACCATGTCTATGTCACCAAACGTCAATGCAACCGCACATCCACCGTTCCGCAGTTTCGAGAAGTCAGTTTATCCACTGCATAGGATCAGGTGATTAAGCGAATATGGGTTACTATCGATGTCTCCTTTCTTTCTCGCCTGTTGCTCTGACGCTCCTGTTAAACCCCATTCCTAACCTTTCATTTATGGCCCCCGGAACAAGTGACAGCTGTTTGAGTTCTACTGTTTTTTCGTCGTCCGCATCTACATCCTCAAATGGTCTCCTGCCTGTTCGGCTTCTTTGGTGACTTTCAGACTACGGCTTTTAAGTCGACAGGCTGCAGATCTGCCCGCAGCCGAAAGGACCACAGGCCTGCCTTGTGGGTCGGAGGTCGCGAATTTCAGGCTGCGTTGTGGACCAGGCACCCTTCGCAATATCTTCAACCCATGCGCGACTAATGGTGGTTGCGCGGCGGCGAAGCTTCGGTACTGCTGATACCCTTTTTCAACAGGCTGCACTCGCAAGCACATTGAGTGCCGTTGCTGTCGATTTCCACATTGTGTTTCCTGAGCTTGTATCTGCTACTTTGAGACAAGCATTGGCTACCTGCGTGTAGCTTGTCTTCCCACTGATGATCACACACGTTTCGTAGGTACCGATTGACTAACAGGAACCATGCTGTGCTCGCTATTGTTTTCCGCTCCAGAGCGAATGTTCTCCGGCAGATTGAAGGATTTCCGTGAACAAACATCTGTGTGCACCCTTTCTACAACATTAATTACGGTTGGCGTGCACGGACAGCGAGCGCTGGTAGACGCAGTTTGTCTGTACTTGCCGTCTGTGCCCCAACTGATTGTGGTCCAGAGGCTGTCGAAATTTCTACCACGAGCTTAGCGCGATATTGTCTATTGCAAACACCCGGGACATAAATGTTCAAGTAGCTCACCTTTAAATCCCTAGTAGCTCAGTTTTGGGACTTTTTCTAGCTCTATGAGTGTGTATCCATTGCGTACCTTCGTCCGAAGGTAAATGGACCAAAAAACTTCAAACATCGCATCTTACACGAACGGTGACCAAACGGATCATCTTACCGTATGTGTAGAACGTTTTTTTGTCTGACTACCGGGCTCCTTAATCACATAAATTGATGACGGTTCATAGACTATCAGCTACTCTGAGGAGACCCTAATCAAACTCGGAAGGGAAAACGGAATCATCTGAGCGATAAAATATTGTATACAGCATGTAGCGTCATAACTGTGCAAGATATTATGATGGACAAACACGAATAAAATTGCCTGCGAAAGTACAAGAGTCGAAAATGGGTCCACAAAAGCCGCTGTGCGCCATTTTTAATTTCAGTGCACATCGATGAAGTACAATGTTGCTTGAATTGGAACAGTATCTGACGCAAGGAGAAACAAGAAAAGGAGCAGACTCTATCGAAGTATGGTTTTAGAGAGATAATTTTATAAACCAGCGCATCGACCTTGTTACTGTATACTAACAACTGAGAACGAAGGAAATTGTTTGGATTGGAAACCGTAACTGACAGACTCCAGCGACCGGGCAGCACACACATAAAACGACCCGCGCAACTGCGTCCTATTCGAAACTATTTCTCCTGTGTAGAAATCGCTCAGATATATCTAAGCACCCTAACAGAAAGCCAATCCAGACAAAGCGTGATCACAAGCACCGGAAATGTGCATAAAGGACAACTCAGTAGCTGCCGACATCCGTCTCTGGGTTGGCTCAAGTCTCCGCATTCCTTGTCAACTTATTTACTACTACTACTGCTGCTGCTGCTGCTGCTAATAATAATAATAATAATTTGTCAGCTGTACGCCGTAATTTCGCTTCGCTGCCGCGCGACCACCACCATTTGCGCGTCGTCCGAGTATACCGCGAGGACGCCCACTCCCACTCGGATTCGAACCGGTGACTTTATGTTTGCAAACCAAGCACGCAGACCACCTTCCGAGCTGCCACTTCGTTTGGTAGTAAATCGTAAAGATCCCATCTGTTGGTGACCGAGAGTCTATGGTAGTAGCAGTGGCGCTAACTGAATTTGTTGGAACCTCGAAAATGGATCCCAAATGGTTCTGGGCATAGTGCTATTAGACTTGCTGTCAGGTGCGATCCAAAACGAACCTTGCTAGCTGACCCAGATTCCCTGTGGTCTCCAAATGCTTGGTAAGTGGAAAAGGCGAGAGCAGGTATCACCAACGCCACTAGTTCCCTCAAATCATCCATGAGTATGATAGTGAAGACACTGGCGTCCTTTCATCTGAGTTCATTTGATTTATTTGGGCATATCAATTTAGGCGTTAGTTTAATTTAAATACTCCACTGGCAGTTAGTTGAGATTTCAACTGGAAGCACTAAGTTCGAAGTGCGGTCTTGTTTTCCGATCATCTCATTGTTATTGTTCCTAATTCTATTTGTTGCTTGTGGTGCAATCCTGTGTCAGGAGACGATTCGTTTGCTTTAGCAGGTAAACATCTAATGATGAGGTCTGATGTGTAACCTGGGCGGATTGACAGTGATTTCAGTAGTCAAGGACGGTGATCACCAAATTGGTGCTGACCACGCGTGCCAACACACCGACTCCCGCAACGTGGGCTGTTTGCGCGCCGAACTGTGAATGGGTGAATAAGGGAGGCCGAACGATGGATGGATTGATCAAGAGGAATGAAAACCCTCACTTCGAATTTGCCATCTTTTAGTGTATCCCGACTGCTGGGCTGAGGTCTGAAAGACGATGAACACCTTTGGTTGGATACACCTGTTGACATTGTAAAGAGTCGACCTCAATGGCGTTTGTGTTGGGAGTTTCTTCGTCCCTCCTTATCTCGCTTATCTTCCTCTTCCAACCACGATCTCTGTTTTGAAGCATAATACGTTACTAGGCAGTGTGCTACCTGTATTTTTACATTCTATGCTTTTCAGTGTTTTTTCTTTTTATCTCTTGTCATTTTGTGTGGTGGCGCAAAAATTGTATTGTGTTTCTCATCTGTAACTAATGTGCAATGATGATGATAGCACTGACCACATGATAATCGGATTGACACCAACAGTTTCGAAGTTGCTACTGAATACTGAGAATATGCAGCGAATAGAGTTGCCTCTGTGTGGCTAGTTCTAGTATCTTTTCAAAAAAATCTACCCATTATGCTGATGCTTATTCTCAAAATCCCAAGTTGACAAAGTTGGGGTTCAGTAGTTACTTATTGGCCTTGCCCCACGTAATGAGAATATCGTATGAGGAAAATGTGAGCGAGCTTTTCACCTGGGTGGGAACTTTAGGCCCTTTTCTTCCATTACATCGCGAACCGGCCCTTACCATGTTCCTTGATTTCAAGGACACTCTGGACCTAGTCAGTCACTCCGTTCTGTACCTGAACACTTTGCTTGCACTCTACCCGGACACTCCAGCTGATCGGTTCACCACTTTCATTGCTGGATTCTTTTTCAGCAAAACTTTGATGCTCACCAGTAGTTCCGCACTCCCCCATATCAATTTATTTTTATCCATAATTACGCCACAAAGCGCTCTCTAATTGATGTGAGTCTCGCGATGCAGGCTTTGACGTCTTGCTCGGAGAGAAACTGATTGATTTGGCTACTGCGGACCACCTCGTTTTGCTGTTTAACAAACGCGAGGGGATACACCTGAGCCTGGACAGGATCTCTGCAGCCGCTTATCCTTTCGATGTGCGCCGTGCAATTTCAGAGAGCTATTACAGAAACACAGTCGGTTGTTTATCCCTGAGTAATGCAGATTTGCTGACGATCGATGTACGCATCTTTCCTCATGGTATTTTTGTGTTAGCAGTGACGGAGATGTTTGACCGATGGGATTAGTTTACGTGTCCAAAAGCTAAGATCGGCCTCATTAGCCTACGACACCTTTGACATAGGAAATATACTCAATTTGGTGCCTTGTACGTCACGTGTACGCAACGACAGTGAGGACCGGTCATCCCTGTAATAGTGAACCTTCTAAGGGTCTCATACACCTTTGGGTCTTTGACGATGATGATGCGCAAGCTATGTTTGTATCAAT